TCAATTTAGGGTCATCTTAGCCAACAGAGCACCATATAAGGCAGAGTTGTGTAATGATGAAATAGTTATCCTGGGTTTCCGTAGGTTTCCCGCTTTATATTTGAGTGAACCATGTATTCAGTAGGTGTGTTCCCAATATATGTCAGGGACCTCCTGGAATGTAAAAGCTGGAACACAAAAATACATAGTATATGTATAGAAATATGGAAACCAAATCACATCCAAAATTCACCAGGCCTCCCTCCACAATAGTCAGTCAATGGATACTACTGTTACCTTCTCATTAGTGAGACTATCATACCCGCTTCTCAAGTGTAGGGACTTCCTGGATAGCCACCCCAAATGAAACAAGGTCCACAGTACCAAATGATTCTGAAGATATATATAGAAAAAGATAATAAATGTATAGATCATGGGCATCAGGTAACCCTGAAAACAAAACACACACAAAATGTGGATATATTACCATCAATAAGGATCAAGAAGACTCCTGTCGACTTGAAATAAGATCAGGTCCTTGATGCTTTTTCAAAGATGCATATGGGGGTGAGGAACCAGGTATACACGATGCGTGGATTTCAAACACATATAATGTGTATGTAGCATATAGCAGGCCGTAGATACCTGAGTTTAATATACCCAAAAAAGGGTTTCCAAAAATAGCTCAATTAGAGAAGGTTATTTGCGGTTTTATAAGGATGTGGCTATGTCACAGCAAAAAATACCTGAATAGGATAGCGTATATATATATATATATATATATAGATTCTCCTCCAAAGAGGATTTCCAAAAAATTCCCCGAGTATACAGGGTAAATTAGGCCCATAGAACATGCCCTATTAACACCATGTAGGCTCTGTAAATCTCAACAGCCGTAAGCTTTAAATAACTTGCCACCGGTGGAAGGTATGTTTCCCTGAGGGATTGCCGTTTGCGAACTGCTGTGATAACCGCCCTATAGTATCTGCTATTGGTGGCCCCCTGGAACCAATAGGTAAATTTGTAGACGACTTAATCAAGGATCTGGTCTTGGAACTCAGATCTTATGTAAGGGATACGGGGGATGTACTTAAAAAGATTCTAAATGTAAAAGTACCAGAAGGTGCACTCCTGGTGGGCATTGATGTGGAATCATTGTATACCTCCATCCCACACGTTTGGGGACAGAAAGCGGTGGCCCATTTTCTGGAGATATACTTTCCTGAAATGGAGGCTCAAAATGAATTTATATTGGATTTGCTTGAGTTTATGCTGACCCATAAACTGTTTTCAGTTTCTGGGCTTCTTCTATCAGCAAATATGTGGTACCTCCATGGGAGCACCCTGGGCCCCGGCATTCGCATGTTTACATCTAGGTCTGTGGGAAGAGGAGCTAGTATATCCCTCCACTCCCTATAAACAATACGCAATAACCTGGTTGCGATACATTGATGATGTCCTAATGGTCTGGGATGGAGGTATGGATGAGCTTAAAAGCTTTATGGAATTTTTGAACAAGAATGATAGAAATATCAAACTCACTTACACAGTGGATAGAGAGGTGATAACTTTTTTGGATTTATCAATCTCTGTCCACGAAAATGAACTGGTCACTAAAACATTTAGAAAGGAAACAGCGGCCAATACACTTCTACATGCTAATAGCTATCACCCAAGGAGTTTAAAACAGGGAATTCCTATTGGTCAGTTCCAGAGAATAAAAAGAAACTGTACAGAAGAATTAGAGTATAGACATGAATCTATCCAGCTCTATAAGAGGTTCAGAGAGAGGGGCTATTCACATAGAACCCTAAGAAGAGCAAAAAGAAGAGCCCTCGGTAAAACAAGAGAGGAACTAATTAATAAATCAAAACCAAAGGCAGCTGCGAATACTGAAAACCAACCGGTAAGATTCATAACTAAATTTGGACAACAATGGGGTGAAGTCAAGAAGGCCCTGGACTCCCATTGGCATTTACTAACTCAAAATCCGCAGATAGCGAGAGTGGTAGGAGAGAGCCCCCATATGGTGGCAAAACGAACTCGGAATCTAAATGATATATTAGTACAATCAGAATTTCAGAGGGCACCACAAAGAAACTGGCTAACTAGGAGGACTGGTGTATATGGTATGTTTCCATGTGGTCACTGTCAGATTTGTCCATTTGTACATAAGTCCAATCAGTTCTTCAACAATGATAACTCTAGGATATTTCAAATACGAAGCTTCATTAACTGCTCTAGTAGTAAAATGATATATATGATAGAATGTCCATGTAAAAAGATATATATAGGTAAAACAAAAAGAAGCCTTAGGACTAGGATTGGTGAACATCTGAGAGACATTAGAAATGAAAATAGGAATGTAAGAAAGGGAGAAAAAGAGAACCCATTGGCGCAACACTTTAAAGAAGTACACGGGGGCAAAACAGATGGTCTAAAAGTAAAAGGGATCTTTCTGCTGAATATTTCGGCTCGTCGGGGTGACTTTGACAAAGTCCTCCTACAAAAAGAAAAATTCTGGATCTATACCCTAGGGGCACTTGTCCCATTTGGACTAAATACAGAACTCAACTTTGGGGTATTTTTGAAATGAATTCCCTTGAACTCTTTATACAGTTGTGACCAAAATTATTCAACCCCCAATGCTGTAAAGGGGTTTAGGGACTATAGTGTACATTTGGAATTGTATTCAGAATCAAATCCTACAAGGACGTTGTAACTACCCAAATGCAACTAAAATGACATCAATTGTTTATGTAATACAGTAGTAAATGGTTCTTATGTGGTTTCTTCATTGCCACAATTATTCAACCCCTTAAAGACTACCACTCTGAAGAACAGAGGTTCATACAGGTGCTTTCCATCAGGTATTGAAAACACCTGTGGATGTCACCGAGCAGCAATCAAGCATAATAAGCACCAATTAGGCAGCTTTAAAATGACTGTGATACTCAGCTCCTTCTAGACATTTACTGGTGTGGTTACAAACATGGTGAAGGCAAGAGAATGGTCCAGGAAGACAAGAGAAGAGGTGATTTCTCTTCACAGGAAGGGCAATGGCTATAAGAAGATTGCAAAGATGTTAAACATACCAAGAGACACCTTAGGAAGCATCATTCGCAAATTCAAGGCAAAGGGCACTGTTGAAACGCTACCTGGTCGTGGCAGAAAGAAGATGCTGACTTCGACTGCTGTGCGCTACCTGAAGCGTAGAGTGGAGAGAAGTCCCCGTGTGACTGCTGAGGAACTGAGAAAAGATTTGTCAGATGTGGGTACAGAAGTTTCAGCCCAGACAATAAGACGCACACTGCGTAATGAAGGCCTCCGTGCCAGAACTCCCAGGCGTACCCCCTTGCTGTCTCCAAAGAATAAGAAGAGTCGACTGCAGTATGCCAAAAGCCATGTGGACAAACCACAAAAGTTGTGGGATAGTGTTCTGTGGACTGATGAAACAAAATTAGAACTGTTTGGGCCCATGGATCAACGCTATGTTTGGAGGAGGAAGAACAAGGCCTATGATGAAAAGAACACCTTGCCTACTGTGAAGCATGGTGGAGGGTCAATCATGCTTTGGGGCTGTTTTGCTTCTGCAGGTACAGGGAAGCTTCAGCGTGTGCAAGGTACCATGAATTCTCTTCAGTACCAGGAGATATTGGATGGAAACGTGATGCAGTCCGTCACACACCTGAGGCTTGGGAGACGTTGGACCTTTCAACAGGACAATGATCCCAAGCATACCTCCAAGTCCACTAGAGCATGGTTGCAGAGGAGAGGAAAGGCTGGAACATTTTGGAGTGGCCATCGCAGTCACCAGACTTAAATCCGATTGAGAACCTCTGGTGGGACTTAAAGAAAGCAGTTGCAGTGCGCAAGCCTAAGAATGTGACTGAACTGGAGGCCTTTGCCCATGAAGAATGGGCGAAGATACCCGTAGATCGCTGCAAGACACTTGTGTCAAGCTATGCTTCACGTTTAAAAAGCTGTTATAACTGTAAAAGGATGCTGTACTAAGTACTAAGATTGAATGTCACTTGGGGGTTGAATAAAACTGATAATGCTGTGAGCACAGAAAAGACATTTGTGGTTATTTCATTATAACTGTTATGTTATATTTGTCTGACCTACAAGTGCCTCTTTAATGTAAATGTAAGCAAGATGACTGAATGATCAAAAGCAATGTCAAACTGGCCAAAACACTCAATTTCAGTGGGGGTTGAATAATTTTGGTCACAACTGTATACCCTGAGTTATAATCTACATTGGGATATCATATATATGTATTAAATATGGGCTTCTGTGGACAAAATATGAATCTAACTATGCAATCTTCTCTACTCCTATTGGGTGGTGAGCATATACAATAATAGGACTGATATTAAAATTCAGGTAGCTGGACCTGGTTTTGATGTTTCCCTATGTGAACATGAAATATGCTAATAATAATCTCCTCTTTATTATCCTCTTGGAAGATGACTTGATCTATAGTAATTAGGCTCCTCTTCTACATCCAGCAATCATTTTAAAATTCAAGATATGTGTTTTAATTCACTTTGGATATTCTTAATGTAGTGATATTCTTTCAACACAAGATGGCGAGGTGGAGACTTTTTGGTATGCAATTAGTGCACCATATAAGGCAAAGGATTGAAGTCCCCTCCCAGTTCTGACGAAGTCTGCGGTGATTGGCGGACGAAACGCGTCAACGTATTGACGTCACTACGCTCGGCGTCTTCACTGGGTGCGGCGCCCACGAGGCGGGAAGGAACGGCGGTGTCACAGCTCCCTGTTAGGTAGGCCCAAGACCCTCTGAGAACTACCAGTGGGCTATTATCACAGCGGTTCGCAAACGGCAATCCCTCAGGGAAACATACCTTCCACCGGTGGCAAGTTATTTAAAGCTTACGGCTGTTGAGATTTACAGAGCCTACATGGTGTTAATAGGGCATGTTCTATGGGCCTAATTTACCCTGTATACTCGGGGAATTTTTTGGAAATCCTCTTTGGAGGAGAATCTATATATATATATATATATATATACGCTATCCTATTCAGGTATTTTTTGCTGTGACATAGCCACATCCTTATAAAACCGCAAATAACCTTCTCTAATTGAGCTATTTTTGGAAACCCTTTTTTGGGTATATTAAACTCAGGTATCTACGGCCTGCTATATGCTACATACACATTATATGTGTTTGAAATCCACGCATCGTGTATACCTGGTTCCTCACCCCCATATGCATCTTTGAAAAAGCATCAAGGACCTGATCTTATTTCAAGTCGACAGGAGTCTTCTTGATCCTTATTGATGGTAATATATCCACATTTTGTGTGTGTTTTGTTTTCGGGGTTACCTGATGCCCATGATCTATACATTTATTATCTTTTTCTATATATATCCTCAGAATCATTTGGTACTGTGGACCTTGTTTCATTTGGGGTGGCTATCCAGGAAGTCCCTACACTTGAGAAGCGGGTATGATAGTCTCACTAATGAGAAGGTAACAGTAGTATCCATTGACTATTGTGGAGGGAGGCCTGGTGAATTTTGGATGTGATTTGGTTTCCATATTTCTATACATATACTATGTATTTTTGTGTTCCAGCTTTTACATTCCAGGAGGTCCCTGACATATATTGGGAACACACCTACTGAATACATGGTTCACTCAAATATAAAGCGGGAAACCTACGGAAACCCAGGATAACTATTTCATCATTACACAACTCTGCCTTATATGGTGCTCTGTTGGCTAAGATGACCCTAAATTGAAGACGCTAAGTGTTTTTTTAACATGATTTTATTTTTTTCATATGTACACCGTGCTCATGTTTAACCTCCCTATGATCTATGTGATCAAATAAAGTAGTGTTAAAATTCCTTTGAATTCATATTACTCCGCGTGGATCATCTAGAAACCTTCTTTTTCAGATAGGGGTGTTCTTGTCACACTATCATATTGCTTAGCTTTGTCACCACCAGCTTTAACCCCTTGGACCCCACAAAAGCATGCAGTTACGGGACACTTGCAGAGTGGCCCCATTTACTTGAATGGGTCTCAGCTGACAGGCAGTACCACCCAAGCAACAGGCAGCATGTGTATACCTTCCGCTGCTGCCTCAGCATCTAAAGGGGGTAGGGATTGGGGGCGTTCAAACTGTGACTCAACCGCATGGTTTTACCACCCCCAAAGTTTACATGTGAACAAGCCCTAAGAGTGCCACTGCACTAAGAGTTCATTCACAAGTGCAGCAGGCAGCGCTGCTCCTCTGTAAAGCGATCCAATTGTGTTTGACAAGTGGTGAGAAAGCAATATGCTGCCTCCTTGCCACCTGATTTAAATCATGCATGATGCACATGATTGTGACAAGGTAGTACGGCAATTAGAGGTTTAATCAGGTGTGAGAAGGTGACACTGTGCCAGAGATCTCTGACTTCTCCCATGTTGTTCAGATAGATCTCCACGTCTTTAAGGTTGCCTACCCCTGACTTACAGTATGTGACTTGAAAATAATTAACTGGGTTAGACAATGATAATCTGGTATCTGTGTTACTGTTCCACATATGTATAACTAAAGACACTTTTTTTTTGGTTTTGGATAGAGTGGAGTAGGATTAGAACACTTGCCAGGTTTTACCGCTCTCTGTGCCCTGTTTACCGTAACAGTGAAAGAAAATATTGAGTTGTCGTCAGAACAGGGAGAGAGGGGAAATCTACCAGTAGGGACACTAGTTCTGGTTATCTTGGTGACAACCAAGGACTCCCTCACTTTTGAGAGATTTCCTTAACACTTCCTGTTTTGGCTATGGGGAAGTAAAGACAAATCTCCCAAATGGGACACAGATGACAAAAAAAAAAAACGGGTATAAAACTCCTTCACTCAATCTAAGGATTCTCGGACCTAAAGGATTTAACACAAGAAGGAAGAATATAGAAATAAGAAATGTAGGAGGAGGATGGGGTGAAGGGAGTTATAGTGCCTTCATAATTAATTTCTGTGTTATCCAGGCCACAAAAATGTTGGAAATGTTTTTCATAATGACCGTGGACAGCAGTAAAGGCCAGACAGGTTATCAGACCCTACCCCAAAAATGTACTTTGCAAACAATGGAGAATATATGTCTGTTTTTATACCTCAATACATTAATTTATTTTTAATCGTTATGTTTTTTGCAGCTCATCTGCATTAAAGTAACTGGAGAAATGTAAAAAACTGAATGAAAGCACAAACAATGCCTAGATTAAATAGATTAAAAGATTACTACTGATAAAAAAGGTAACATTTTGCCAATCTGCAAAAATAGTAAGTATGCCTATATGAAACATTAACAAATTATATGCATTACACCTATAAAATATACACTATATCGCCAAAAGCATTGGGCCAGCCCTCCAAATCATTGGATTCTGGTGTTTCAATCACTTCCATGGCCACAGGTATATAAAATCAAGCACCTAGGCATGCAGACTGCTTCTACAAACATTTGTGAAAGAATGGGTTGCTCTCAGGAGCTCAGTGAATTCAAGCGTGGTAACGTGATAGGTTGTCACCTGTGCAATAAGTCCATCTGTGAAATTTCCTTGCTATTAAATATTCCATGGTCAACTGCTAGTGGTATTATAACAAAGTGGAAGCAACTGGGAACAACAGCAACTCAGCCATGAAGTGGTAGGCCATGTAAAATGACAGAGCAGGGTAAGCGCATGCTGAAGCGCACAGTGCACAGAAGTCGCCAACTGTCTGCAGAGTCAATAGCTAAAGACCTCCAAACTTTATGTGGCCTTCAGATTAGCACAACAAGAGTACATAGAAAGCTTCTTGGAATGGGTTTCCATGGCCAAGCAGCTGCATCCAAGCCTTACATCACCAAGTGCAATGCAAAGCATCGGATGCAGCGGTGTAAAGTATGTCGCCACTGGACTGTAGAGCAGTGGAGACGTGCTCTGGAGTGACCAATCATGCTTCTCTGTCTGGCAATATGATGGACATGTCTGAATTTGGTGGTTGCCAGGAGAACGGTACTTGCCTGACTGCATTGTGCCACGTGTAAAGTTTGGTGGAGGGGGGATTATGGTGTGGGGCTGTTTTTCAGGGATTGGACTTGGCTCCTTAGTTCCAGTGAAGGGAACACTTAATGCATCAGCATACCAAGACATTTTGGACAATTTCATGCTCCCAACTTTGTGGGAACAGTTTGGGGATGGCTCCTTCCTGTTCCAACATGACTGCGCACCAGTGCACAAAGCAAGGTCCATAAACACATGGACGAGTGAGTTTGGGGTGGAGGAACTTGACTGGCTTGCACAGAGTCCTGACCCCAACCTGATAGAACACCCTTGGGATGAATTAGAGCAGACACTGTGAGCCAGGTCTTCTTGTCCGACATCAGTGCCTGACCTCACAAATGCGCTTCTGGAAGAATGGTCAAACATTCCCATAGACACACTCCTAAACCTTGTGGACAGCCTTCCCAGAAGAGTTGAAGCTGTTATAGCTGCAAAGGGTGGGCCAACTGAATATTGAACCTTTTGGACTAAGACTGGGATGCCATTAAAGTTCATGGGCGTGTAAAGGCAGGCGTCCCAATACTTTTGGCAATATAGTATATGTGCATGGATTGCATGATCGCAAATAGTGACATCTAGTGTCAAAAATATGAACTTCACATGTGAGAAAATGGGACAATTTGCACTATAACAGTTTGATTTTTTGCAAAATAAATTTATATGAAAAAACAGTTTTACCTTCAAAGTACATATGAATGCAATTTTTATCAGTTTTCAAAGAAATTATTTTGGTAACCATGAATGGGATTTAAAAAATTTTAGTTGTATACTATCTATAGATTTCTCATCCATTTAGGTAAAAAATTTGGGCCAAAAAGGCCTTATGTTCATCAAGAAAAACCATAAAAAACAAAACAGAAAACCTTGCATTAATTGAAACCTAAACCTGCAGTTGATACAGGGGAAGGGAAAAGCCATGGATCATGTTCCCTACCTGAACCACTATTCTGATAGTATATATATATATATATATATATATATATACAGTATAATGTATATATACAGTATGTATGAAGAGAGAGATCATTTTGTCTTGTGGAAATTCATCCAGATATGTTTTGAAACAATCAGCTAGCCTGCTGTCCTTTTGTGGTAAAAAAAACTTCAAAGGGTAACTCTACTTTTGTGGGGAAAATATAGCAAAAAAAAAACAAAACAATACAGCATATAGATAGGCTAAACAAGCCACATTGTAATTTAATGTTAATAAATATTTTCTTTCCTTTTCAGTCTGTAATTTTTTCTAACATTCAATAGAATATGGCTGCTTGTAAGTCTACTGTACACAGCTGGTGTACAGAACTTCCCCAGAAATGTAATTTCCTACTTGTGTAATTGGCTCACTGGTTTCCCAGAAGTCTGCATTAAGATACAAGTCAGATTTTCAGCATCCTCTACAATAGAAAAGCAATTTCCAGTGAGATACTGCCAAAGGGTTAATCACTTTTAAAGGGATGCAGACCCTGCATTTTCTCATTAGAACACTACAAGTACATCAGCTGGTTTATAATGAGAAGGTCACTCTCATTCAGATTCACTCTGCACACAACAAACAGCTTTTTCTTCAGAGCAGAAAAGGTAGAAACCTGCAACAAAGTTTGTTAGAATAAACCCAGAGGGGAATGTGTTTTTTTAAACAACACAAATTGAGTTACTCTCTATACTTAATTAACTATATGGACCATTTATTTTTTTGCCTAAGTTGTCCATATCCTCTTGAAAGTGGAACTAACCCCTCCTATCCTTTACATCCAAAAAAGCTGCCACTTTAGACTTTGTTTGATCTGCAGTTGCCATGATGGATGCACAAGTGATCAGTTGTAACACCATGGTTTGATGGTTTGACAGTTCAGTTGAGATCAAAAGCAACTGTGACAGTTATCATTCACTGCATGCCTTGAAGGTAACTATTTGGGGAAACCGTTAAATCAATAGCTTTAGTTCAACTTTTTTAAGCCCAAATTCAACCAAAACACATATTTTTAAAAT